TTCAGCACAAGGGTTTTCTCTCCATGAAACTTAAAGGGGAGAAATAAACCTAGGGATGAGCAGGTGGTGCAATGGATGATGAGGAAGGGTGAATGTTTTGGATGTGGGAAAAAAAATCCACATGGCAAAAATTTTCACATGCAAATTACGGGGTTTGAGTATGGGTACCTCTCGGATCAGGGCTGAACTGCCCTTCACCCCGCTGCACGGCCCACCGCCTGTATTTGCTGGTGGCGCTGGGGGGAAAAAGACCAGGAATTGGTGCAACCTGTTACAAATCTGACGGAGCAGGGATTGGTATGATTCAGAATGAGAACCTTGAATCTAAAACCTATCCCGCGAAACTGAATTACTCACCTTCATCCAAGAAGTAATGAGGTTAACTTGGATCAGCTTTATTATTCCATCACATGATTAAACTATCTAAAAGTTAATATGAAAACAAACAAAACATTAAAGAGACTTACCTGACGGAGCAGGGATTGGTATGATTCAGAATGAGAACCTTGAATCTAAAACCTATCCCGCGAAACTGAATTACTCACCTTCATCCAAGAAGTAATGAGATTAACTTGGATGAGGAAAGAAGAATTCAGAATCCGCTGCTCCATCAGGTATATGAACTGTACAGGATGAATATAGTTAGGTTTAAAACAAGTACAAATATTCTTGCAAGCGTAACAATCACACACATGTCAAGTATTAGAAATGAGAAAGAAATACATATTTGTGAAAGATCATAAATCGTGAAATCTGACTTGTAACATTTACACTTTTACTTTAACACAACCATGACACCAATTCCTGGAATAGCTGTATAGAGTGGAATCAGCTACAAAAAAACTCACAATTTGGGTCCAATTTGCACTGCCAACATATTGACCTCAGATTGGGAAATCTGAGGCATTCTCAGATCTGAAACCTCAGACAGGAGCTTTCCAAGGTTTTGATCCGAGGTAATCTTTTGCGCATAATGATACCTCAGACAGAAACCTTGGATAAGATCCGTTCAAGGATTTTCATCTGACAATACCTTGGATCTCCTGATCCAAGGCATCTATGTTGGCGGTGTTGGTGAAAAGTGTCAGATTTTTATTTTTTCTGCTGGAAGTAGGTGTTCTTGGAACCCTTTGACCAGTGACTGATGGCTATCTTATTCACAGGTGAATGAGGAGAAGTATCCCATTTTTGCCCACCTTGCACAAGATAACTTGGCAATCAACCCTATGGCATGTGCCATTCATGTGCCATTGGCAGAACATTCTCTTTGGCCACCAATGTTTGCACCACTGACCACAGCTCCCTCTTGCTGTTACCCATCATATGGCTGGTCTCCGGGTGTGTGTGGTTGGTTGAAGGTGTTGAAATGAAGGCAAAGTTTGCAAATGCAACTGAGGCCATGAACCATTCTTTGGCAAATGATTGGAAGGCACATATAAGGCAGGGTCAACCCTATGGTCATACCTCTCCTATTTTGTATCCTCTTTTTCTATCCTTTTTGGCTCATTGTCCTTTTTATCCTCTTGGTGATGTTTGTCTCTTGTGTTTTTACTTGTTTATTGTTTTGATATTATGAAAACGGGTCTCTTCTCATTTTTTTGATGCCACAAGATTTTGTGGTACTAGCAATGGTACAGATACAGTACTCTAAAGTACTTGTCCGGGTATGGTACAGTATTGTAACAAGCTAAGTCTGGCAGTACCAGTACAGTACCATACTTGCTCTACAATCCAGGTGTGGTACTGTGAGTTGACCCCTAATGTGGTGACAGCTTCAGGTACAGTACAAGCTAACATTGCAGTACCACCAGCCCAGTACAATACTGGTACCATAGGTACAGTATCAGTACAGGACCCTGGAGAGCGCTAAATGATCATACCAACAAAACAATGGTTTTGGATACCATCACCTTGTAAAGCTGTCTAGCATGGTACCAGACCTGTGACATATGCAAAAGATGTGCACAGATACAGGCTATCAGATGCCACACATCTGAGACCCTCAGCATACCTGTTAGCTGTGGAAATGTACATTTTCCTACTTTTTGCCCTGAGGCTCAAGGAGTATTCATGTCATGTTGGGCCAGATACTTACATATGTATATCTTGAGTATCACACATGGTGTATAAAAAGAAATATATGTGATCAATATCTCTGGCCCAGGGGCATCTTTTGGGATGTGAGACATTGTCCCAAATTACCCATATTCAAGGGGAAACCCCAATCAAAGTGAGGCCAGAGCTGGTATGACAACTTTTTATTATCATAAATTAGCACTCTCCGGGATAATATCAGTACTGTATCTGTTGCTGTGTTGACCCCATTGTATGTGACATGCCTGCTTGGTATGGGGTTACAAATTGTGGTGCATTGGGCATGATCTAAGGGACTTCAGGCTAATATTTCCTATTTCTGTACAAGTGTTAAAATCAAAGGTAATTGTGAAATGATGCTCATTAATAGCCCCAGCCATATTTAGGCATCTCTTCCAAAACAGGTGTTGCCCATATGTATATACCCTATTTTGAGAACCAAATCATGGGTTAAAGTTGGTACAGTGATTATTTTTTGGCATCAAGTAAACAGTATTTTGTACCTTCTTGAGTCTTGACCACCATGAACTTGGTTCACAACACTCCAGTCCATGCAATTGCATACTGCATAGACTGTGCATCCAAAAAATCTCTAATCTTGATTCCCTTTAATGCCAAATCTGACAACTGAATAGTATACCCAGTCAAAATGCATACCAAATGTCTTCCACCCAAATTATGTGATTGCATAGGACCCAGGAATGCCACTATTGAGCTTTGTGACAAAAGATGTTTGAATTTGACCTCAAATTTTACCCATGTTTCAGTTAGTGTTTGGCAAATTGATTTGTGTGTTGCTATGGTGTTACAAATTGTGATCTCTTTGGTTTTGGTATTATGATATGTTGTTATGATTTCTATCTGATATGTGTCTCTTGTCTGATTTGATATGTCACTATGCGCTACTGTCTATCCTTGGGTGTGATATTAACTCTTTGTGTAATATGACTGACTGTCTGATGGGTCTTGAAGGGTCAGATAGTCACACACCCACATTGAGAATTCATGTCATCTTAGACTCTCTTGGTTTACCACCACATTAAGCATTACTGTCATCCATCCAGAAACATCCTCTGAACATCAATTGTTCATCTTCATCCAGATTCCAATGTGTAATGGTCTGACATATAATGGGATCACAATCCAGTTTGTACAGTAAACTCTTGCAAGATTGTAAGATGGTTTAGTTTGTTTATATGTTTCTTCTTTTCTAAAAAGAAAGAAAGAGATGATTATAAAGGACCCTGGAATGCCCCTATAAAGGGTAGTGATCTAAAAAAGTCCCTTTTTGACTTCCGCAGATCCCCACCCCTGCCAAATGGCTAAGTCTGTTCCTGGCTCCACCCATATCCCTAAGAGGGTCTTAAGTTTTCCTCAGAATTTCTTGAGACTGTCAAAGGCTGGCATGGATCACAAAAAGAACTGGGCAGAAATGGGCAGAATCAAAGTGAGACACATATAATCCCATAATTTTCAACTCCACAGAAGTCAAAAAGGGACTCTTTTAGATCACTACCCTTTATAGGGGCATTCCAGGGTCCTGATTATACTCTCCAGCACTGGACCAACCAAATAGCAAAATACACTGTTTTTACCAATGGTGTGGGAAGAAATCCAAGGCACCAACAGCCAACCTAGTAAACCGCTTGTATGGTTTGCTCATCAAGTAAAAATGTGATGGGACCTCATAGGAATGGTTGGACGACTATAATCAAAATAGCCCCCAAAGGTGAACACTGTCTGACCTCTCACCGCTTGATTGGAGCACTGCCCAACCTCTCACCTCTCCAATCAGTTCTATCAATACATTCTGCCACCAATATCACCACAAACTTGGACCACAGCGGGTTATTGATAATTTATCTTTCATTGTTTTGCTCAGCCTCAAGTTTCTCCTTTTTTACAAGTTGCCAGGAGACTGGTTATACACCTCATATTCTGTCAACCACCCTTTGTACAGGCTCCCAATTGAGTTTTGTTTGCTAGGTGACAGGTCCCGGTGCTGATGCTCTTAGCAGTGTTCTCTTTTTCTCATAAAATGCTCCTGTGAGTACATAGTTCATCTATTCAAACAATTTTCACTTCACTTACAAGCAATCACATCACCAACAACATAATTTCTTTACCATGAATGACTCATAGGTAAGATCTCTACTCATTAGTGTTTTCCTGTTTTTCTCTCTCATTTACTTCTCTATACATATATGTGTGTGTGTTCAATGTTGTTTGTTTGCAAAATAACTCATCTACTCAAACCCTTCTCACTTCACTTACACACAATCATCTCACTAACAATGTGATATCTTTACTGTGAATGACTCATAGTTTGTGGCAAAAATTGTTGGAATTTACCTGTTTTCTCAAAAGGTTTGTGACAAAAAATATAGGAATTGACTCCAAATCTTGGGAAAGAATTTGGAGTTTGTAGATCAAACACCACAAAAGGGCCAAGCTTGATAAGCCTGCTGGACTCGGAGGTTTAATGTGAAAACTTTTTCTGTTATTACCTATCTAGTAGTCTTCAAATCAAGTGTGATATTTTCAATTTGTCTTCATAATTCCTCACTCATGACCAGTTATCATTAAGCTATATATACCTTCCTATATGCTTTTGTCAAGAATGTGTAATCAATACTATCGCAAACCCAGATATCTTTCCAGTGCCTTGAGCTTTCCCGAAATTTCCCTTGTGAATTGAAGATGAGCATATGATAGGAAAGAGTCATACACATTTTTCTTCTAGCTTTCAATCTGGCCATCTTCCTTCTTGTGAATCGTTGACTTCGCGTGTAACATGTTGTAGTAGGATGATCACGTGACATGTACTTGAACTTGTCGCGCCTTCAAACTTCACGGTGGGCGCTTTCGAATCCAACAGTCAAGCCACTTCCATCAACTTCATTTATCAAGACCAAGACTGAGACTATGTTCAACTCAAAAGCTCGTGCTGAACTTGGAATCGGTATTCAATCCAACAGTCTCAATGATCCTCTCTTATCAACACTACAATATCAAACTCGATTGAACTTTTACTCTCAACCTCCTACTACTGACATCACAATCGATCAATTCGAAACTTGGGCTATAAATCGTCTTAAAGGTAAGCAAAGAGAATCTGAAATTTCAAGGACTGATGATTCGAATAAACAACTCATAGATGGTTTTTTTGTTTGACAATTTATTAGTTTTGGCTGAAATCGAAAATGGTTTATCAAGAAATCGATCATTTGAAGAACTTAAACCGATTTTAACAAATAGATGTAAAGAATGTTTACCATTGTCTGCAAATACAGCAAAATCTGTAGATTTAGATTCACAAAGAAAAATCGATCATTATTCTCATTATATCCTCAGATTAGCTTTTTGTAGATCGTAAGAAACATTTTGGATTTATCTTATCAATTTTAAATCATTGACTGATATCTTTTTTTCAATTTGGTTTGATTCGAAGACAGTGAAGAACTTAGATCTCGATTTGTGAATGCTGAAACTTTGTTATTTAAATTCAGATTTGAGACAGAAGACACTTTAGAAAGGATCAAATTTATTCCTTCTATAAAGATCGATTGGCAACAAGTTGATCAGAACGAAGTAACACATATCAAGACAATGATGAAAGATCCTAATGAAGATACATATTACAAGGTACCTCTTCCTCATAGTCAATTATGATGCATTTAAATTTTCAATGACTGATCATTTGCATCTTTTGTACACAGGTTCGTTGGACAAAAGTTCCAGATCTCGTTTCATCAAGAAAGGTATACTTGAAAGCTGGTTATGCATACGTGTCTTCAAAAGATCAGGCTTCTATAATCTTTCAAGAGTTTTCATCTCGTCTGAAAAAAGCATTGGAAGTAAGTAATTTCTCTGCCTGATCTCCTGATATCTCAGCCTGATCAAATTGAATCCATCGCAGATCACATCGAAGCATCTTCCCGACCTCGACGAAGACTCAAGACTATTACCCGTACTGGAACATCTTTCTCTTAACTTCTTAGCTGGAATCTCTGGTTCACAGTACGTTGCAAGGAATCCAAGTGATCCTGATGGTACAGTCTTTACATCAGATATGGTTGATGATCTCGCAAAACAACATTTCCCACCTTGTATGAGACATTTATGGAATATCTTACGAAAAGACAAACATTTGAAATATGGAGGAAGACAACAATTTAATTTATTCTTAAAGGTAATGTTTCAAATTCTTTTTCCTATCGAATCCCTTTCTCGGATCTATCTATGACTTTTCTTACAAGGATTTTTCACTGACTTTGTTTTCATGCGGTCACGGTGATCTATGAATTCGATAGGGAATTGGCTTACCAGTAGACGAAGCACTCATCTTTTGGAGAAAAGCTTTTTGTAATGTTTCTGATGACAAGTTTCGTAAAGATTATCGATACGGTATTCGACATAATTATGGTCTAGAAGGAAGTCGAAAAAATTACCAACCAATGCCATGTACAACAATCATCAAAAATGGAGCAGGTCCATCCGATTCACATGGTTGTCCTTTTAAACAATTCACTCCAATGAATTTAACTCAATTCTTAACTCAATCTTATGGTTTAAATTCAAATTCAAATGAAATTAAAGATATTTTAAATTGGAATAAATCTTCTCTTTATCATTTATCTTGTACTTGTGTTTTTGAAGTTCATCACAAGAAATATGGAGTTAAAAAAGGTCAAGGTGTAGGTCAAACTGAAAGCGTCTCTCATCCAAATCGGTTAGTGATTTTCTTTTATCCTTTGATTTATCAATCTTTTGAGCGGAAACATTTGTATCTATGAACTGATGATTTGTCTTTCTTTTCGATCTTTGGTAGATATTTTGAAGCTAGTCATAAACTGAGTCACCCTATAGAAGAAGGAACCGCTAAGCCTACTTGATAACTGGCAAGAAAAGGCTTTGCGTTTGTATTTATCTCTAATTTACCTCCTTGTTTATAAGTTTTTGTATACCTACATTTTGATTGTGATGATTGATATGATGCAGTAATCTAGATGGGACTTACCAATCCACCATCACTCTTCATTCGATTGTTGCTGTCAGTACTGTGCCGTTTCACAGAATCAACATAACACATCAAAATATCGCCCTCTGCTTGGGACACAGCCTCCGAAGCCATCAATTCGTCTCGGTGAAATTGTTGACATCCAACATTCGAGGGTGTTCCACATCTTTGATTCATGCGCGAAGGTGCGAGGATGTAAAAACATAATCACTTCTTAGCTTATCCAGAAGATATTGAGACTGATATGTGAGATGCTGGAATGGATATATTGATCATCTTTACAAAATGAAGCCACATATCTATACCCAAACAATTGTTCCATAGGCATATCAGAACAGTTGTTTAAGCTCATGCTCCACCCGGTTTAGTCATTCTTCCTCGTCGAAGTTGCATCAAACAGTTTGAACGAGGAGGAAAGCAAAAGAGCTGATACTTATGAGTGACTTGACCTCAACACACGCATGATACAACATTCATGACCAGATATCAAGATACACTCTGAGGGTTGGGTTAGGATCAAAATGTATCAATCTATAAAAAGCATTTCCACGCTCAAGTTTGCTTTCACGACCCAGCCAACCCCAGCCAACATGGTTACCCCAGCCCCATGCAAGTGGTGATTGGGCCCTGTACAAACAATTATTCCAGGTGGGGTATGTGATGAAAAACATTGGAATTAGGAGATTTTTTGGTTTGACCAGAGTTGAGGTCCGCCAATATTGGAAATCTGGTCACAAGCCTCAACTGGAGCACTCTTGGGTTCTGATTGCATGGGTTTTGTATATGGTGATGTTTGCTCCAAAACTTTATGCTTATGTATGGTAGGTTTGGTGTTCAGAACAGTACAGAGAGTCCCTCTGAGCCCAATTTTTTGGTGGTTTGAGGATAAGCACATCAAACACCCACTTTGGTGAAAAAGTCACATAAAATTACAGACTTTTGCATCATGGTGAGAAATAGGGGGGGCTCAAGTCAAGTTATTTTACTGCTTTGACCATCAAAAACGTTTCTCAAATTTGTAAAAATTTGCATCATAAAATTTACACAAAATTTTACAAAATTGGGAGAAGTTTTGAGACATCCCAAATTCTTTTGATCAGCAAATTTGCATAAATTGGTGTAAATTTGCTGCTTGGCAACACAATTTTTTTTACAAATTGGGAAAATGTTTTACAGTCTGGTACTGTCAATAACTTTTCCCAATTTTTTAGGACAAGGCTGCAAAAATCTTGACCTGAGCCCTCCTAATCTTCTCACTGTGTATGTATATATAAAACCACATAACTCGTTGGTATGTGAGGCTTTGTTATAAACCAGTACACGACGGGGACTAGGGATGAAGAGATGAAGGTGCTATCCAATAATTAACTAGATTGCAGTGTGAGTCTAATCTAAGGATCATGGGGAATGCTAAGAGCTATTGGTTTTTTGACTGTTTTTCCCGCCCATGATAAATATAGATTGGAAAAATATGGGTTAAGCCAGAGTATGGCTTATTGGGTACACCACGGGGCAGCCTTTGAGCGAAAGAGGGCTGCCAGGGTGCGGTGAAGGGCTACGTGAATTTCACAGAGCTGCCGACTTGAATCATAGGTGGAACCCAGCGATGTTGAACGCTGTGCGAGTTTGAATCGCATGGATGCGATGTCGCAGCCAGCAGCGGTGAAACCGCGTTACAATCACGTCGCGATCCGTGGTGAACAGATTCACGTTGGCCACGTCGATCGCCGCGTGAACATCGCATCGGCTCTGCCCACGATGAGATCACCTGAGGACCTCATCGTAGCCGTATAGAGCAGGTGACCTTGGGCACCCTGAGCAATCTGCGTTTTGGATCAAGAACTTCAATCCCAAGGGTTTCCGCGGCTTGTATCACAAACCAGGGAACCAAGTCCAGGAGTTAGGGCGTTTTGAAAATTGACCGAGTGGGCATGACAGGCACAGTTGTTTCAGGTCAAGACCCTTTCGGTCCAGTTTGAGATTGACCCAGTCATAGAGAATGTTTTCGAGTGGGAACGATCTTTGTCCCATTTGTTGAATATTCATCAACAACTAACATTCAGAATTTATTCTCCTTCAAATCATTGTTTTGTTATCTTTCAATTATTCCTTCTTCTATCACGAGAATCAATTCATCGATTTTTTGATTATCATCTCAATCACCCTCTAAACCCAATTATCATTGTTCAGAGCATTCTAGGTGCTTTTTTCCTCCATCCATTGTTTTAAGCTGTGACACTTGCAAAGACTCCTGCTTCGAACCTTGAGCTCATCTCGACGCATAACCCTGAAGCTAAAGTTTGAGCAAGTGTCACAGATTTAAAATAATGGATGAAGTGATTAAGAAACCTAAACATAAGTCTCCGAGTACCATTCTTTCTCGCAAAAATCGTACCAAACGGAAGAATGCTGAGAAAAAAAAACAAGATCGCCCACCACCCAACCATGGAAGTGCCAAGATTGCTGAGCTCACTGAAAGATATGGTCTGCCACCCAAAACAAAATTCCTCTTTTTCAAGAAATTTGAAAATCCTCCTTTTAGAATCTATCATGGAACGGTTGTTTGTCTCGATGCCGACACCTCTCAATTATTAGGGGTTTTTCGATTTGTTGAGCCAACTCCTGAAAATGTGGCTCTTTTTGAAAAGTACAACCATTCAATTTCAACTGTCTATAAACACGCTCGAGCACGTGGACTTTGCAAGACAAACGGTGCTGCCAAAAAAGCTAAAGCTGATCGAAAGAAGTATGGCAAGATGTATTGTGCTGGTTTCAGGCCTGGATTTGACCGGCTTGTTAAAGCAGGTTAGCTTATTTCTCTTCAAATTATGTTCAATCAAGCATCAATATTAATGACATACTCTTTCAGCTACATATGCTTTCAATGCAGCCACAGGTGGAAAGCTTTGGAAAATGCAAGAAGATCTCACTTGTCAAGGAAATCTCCCAGCAATTGAGGACTTCTTTGCAGAACGATTTTCTGGATTATCCTCCTATGCTTTTAAATCTAATGCTGAAATTGCCGCAAGTACTGGTGCACCTTCTTGGGCCGGACAATCATTTTATGTCTCACCTAATGTGCAAGTCTTTGCTTCAAACATCGCTGTCACCTTTGACGAGTTTGTCAATGCATCTCATACCGACAACGATATTACTCAGTATGCCTTTGGTTTTTTCGCACGTATCAATCGCCAAACTGGGAAACTGTACTCTTTAAAAAACGATGAGTATCAAGGAAATGTTGTTGGTGGCAGTTTTCATTTGGACGACTACAACATCACAGTTGATTACGATGCATGTGATGGTGTTGTTGAGGCACTGTGGGCCAGCCACATTCATCACCACACTTCGGCAGCAAAGACTTACGATGTCAAAAATGCCAAAGTTGTCCCATCAAGAGGAAAAGTCACTCGCTTTGGCTGTGCTTGTCAGATCAATGAACGTTTGGTAGAAAGAATCAGTCAAGTCAACAACTTGCGTGGTGAGAAGGATGATGAGGAATGGGAAGAGTATTGTAGAACTGTATTGGGCTGGCTATCCAGAGGAGGCACGCAAAAAGATGACAAAATTTGGCTGAAAAAACATGGGTATCGATGACCTTTAGTTTTGATTTTTTTCCCCCCTGAAAATGGATTTTCTCAAGCACTGGCTTGTTTTCCTTTTTTTGAATCTTTCCCCCAAATTGTCATGCCTTGGAAATACTATTCTATCAATTTTAAGCCTTGCTTTGCATCCATATGGGATACTTTTCCAACCTTTGGCTCATGTTGAGCTAGATGTGGATGAACAGAAATGATATTCACTCCTTGAAACAAGGAGTGAAATAATCGTGAACATCCTGCCGATCCTAATTATCAAAATTTCCTTGTACTGCACTTTTTCAAGATGTGTATTGAAATAACATTCAAAAAAACCACACAAAGTTTGATGTGGCAAGTTTTGAACAAAGTAAGATTGATAGAATAGAGGACTGTGGGAAATCAAGCAATCAACAAATCCTGTGCAAGAACGAGTCAGTTTAAACAAAACATTCCTTTTCCAATCATCCAGATCTGAAAGATAAAGCTCACAATCCATATTGTACAAGTCTTTCTTGAAGAAAACCTCTATATTGAGTACCTTGAAGATGGCTTCAGAAGCCGATAAATGTAAGCTAACATATGTGATTTATGTGTTGTAATGAAGTTTATTTTTTGATCTGTTGATAGATTTCGATAAACTACCTGGAAGCAACAAATTCCAATGTCGGCTTTGCAAGGGTCGGGGTTTCACAGATAAAGCAGGCCATTCAAACGGTAAAACTCACAAATCCAAAGTTAAAGGTGCGGAAGAAGCTCAGAGAAAAAGGAATATTTGAGTAGCTGGTTTAACTGCTGAAGATCGTAGGATGGTGGCAGATGATGTGGGGTGGGATGCGCTTGCAGACGATATTCATGTGCCTGATGCTGGACCAGCAGACGAAATCGATGAGGCCAATGAAGTTGATATGACAGCTTGGCTTCAGGCTTTACGAGATCAGGCTGCCAGTCCAACTGGAAACGAATCTGACAAAGAGGATCTAAGACCTTTCAACTGGCAAAACTTCCTTGCACCTCCCCATGATGACGACCACGACAGCATCAACAGTGAAGAAGATGATGAGGAAATAGAGGAGATCCCTCTTGCTTTGGAAAATGATGATGATGAAGAAGTAAACAAATGGTACCCTTTTGAAAAGAAAGAGGTAATTAACTTGCTTTCATTACCATGATTTGCATGATGATGCTGACTCTGCAATCTAACTCTAGCATCTTATGGGTCTGTTGTTCATGGGTTCAGTGAGAAGGACAACATCCCGTCAAGACTATGAGATAACTCGAGTGATAGTGAAGATAGGTGGGATTAATATACCCAACTGGGCATCAGTTCGTAAAATTTGTAATGATCTTCGCAAACGATTGGGACTCAACGTTGTACAGAATACAAGCCCCCTTGGCAATCCTTGCTTTAGCTTGGACATTCAAGAAATCGTGGCGCAGGTGAGTAGTTATTGTTTTCTGATCTTATTAAGTTTAACAATGGAACGAGTTATTGATCCATAAATGATTCCATATGCTTACTTACAGGAGTTAGCTAATCCTATAGTACGGCCACACTTGATGTGCATTCCTGAGTCGGCTGATACCGGTAATGTGAATTGGCTATCACAATCATGGAAGTGGAGAGCTGGGTTGTCAAAGAAACTTAGAGTGCAGATGATTGAATATAAAGATAGCCATTACTACATATATGAGCCAGCTCAACTTTCAGAGGGATGTATTGTAGCACCAATCTTTTTCTTTCAGAATGAGAAAGGTATCATGGCAAAGTGTCTAAGAATAGATAGCTCAAAAGATAAAGATACTGGTGATATAATAATGTGGATGCTAGATGAACCTGAATTTGAATCAGATAGATACAGAACTGTTGAAGTGAAGGATTTCAGGAGGTGTTATACTGAGATAGTGTTGGATGATGGTAGATTACTGAAGGATTGTGGGGTGTTGAAAAGCGGTGGTATGATTTCATTTAACTGTGTCCAATTCCATTGCAATAATGGGCTGAAAACATGAATTTGCATTTTCAGGTAATACTTTAGACGAAGCATTTCAAGTTGATCTCCCAAACCCTTGGCGAACACGAGCTAATGGAAAAGTCATACAACATGTTCCAATAACCTTGATTCTGATGATACATACCTGA